ATCTGATCGGATAACCTGACGAAGAGAAACATTTGTAAGAATATGGAGTAGATAATAATATTAAAATAAATATCATGAGAGTGTTGGCTGGATTCATTTGTTGTAGGACAGAGGCCAATGACGCGTTGTCAACATGGAAATAAACCTTCGCCTCCGTGGTCTAGTGGTCAGAGTTCCTGGTTACAGATCCAGAGGTCCCGGGTTCGATTCCCGGCGCTACCAGACTTTCTTAGAAGTAGTGGATCTGCAACGGGGTCCACTCAGCCTCGTGAGGATAACTGAGGAGCTATTTCAAGGAAATAGCGGCTCCGGTCTAGAAAACCGAAATTCACGGCTGTGGGGACTCGTGCGCTGACCAAGCGACACCTCTATCTGCTAAAGCTGGCACTAACTTCGTCAACAAGCGGCGGTCGCTCAGCGACTATTGGTTTCTTATGAAAGACCCTGCTCTAAAAGAATTAGCTGGTTATAGACACAACAGAGCAAGGAGTCATTAACAGCTTGTCCTAATATTTCACCAAACATATCAACAGAAGGCGTCGCGAATAGTGGTTGTGCATTTTAATTAAATTTATATTTTACGTATATTTAAATTATGAAATCTGATAAAATTCAGCTGAAGCTCTTAAAGTAAAATAAGGGTTATATTGGATTTTTAAAAAATAAATTAAGCCACACAATTTGCAGTACGGACTTCGAATTACAAATTTAATCAAATTCTCTTCACCAGCTTCCATGACGATAAACGTGGACGGGCAGTCATGGGAAGCTTTTCCTTTACGTGCCCCTGTATGCACTTCATGTAAAGAAACCATAAAATCAATATTTCGAACCTCATAAGAAAGACAACACATTTCTGAAACCACCTGCAGATGAAAAATACAAGGCTATGAGGGCAGTCAGACACGCGGTAGCGCAGGTAGTTGATGCACTATCCTACAAGCCGGAAGGTCACGGGTTCAATTCCCGATTAAGTCAATGGATTTTTTAATTGACCTAATCCTTCCAGCAGCACTATGGCCCTGGGGTTCGACTGCGCCTCTAACAGAAATGAGTACCAGGAATCTAAAGGGAGGTTAGCGCGTAAGGCTGACAACCTAACTGCCATCTGCGAGCCGACTGTCTAGAAAATGTGGAAGCCTCGACGTCTCACATCCCTGTGCCCTCCACGGCCTGTTACAGGTATAGCTTTTATGTCTGCTGTTAGCTTATCGAAAGCAGCTTTTGTCAAACCTGAGCAGCATGGGATATTGCTACTATACAGTGGACCCCGTGAATACTGGTTTAGAGGAATAAAATCCGTAAAGAAGGGCGGAGCTTCTCGTTTTAGCGCAAGGGCGTAAAATGATGAGGATAATCGGAAGGGGGAGGGGGGAGTTGAAGAGGCTACATATTCGTGGCTGCCTCGTATCTGTTAGCTCTTGGTTTCGACACAAATTATAACTGGTAAAGCCCACGAAACAAATTACGCACGTCCGAAAACCATGTGCTCAGAAAACACATTTGTTCCTATGAAGAATAAAAGGAGAAATTTTGGGCAGCCCTATTACGAGGGCGGGATTCTGTGCTCTTCAAGCACCTAGTACCGTTAGGGTTCTAGTGGGCTGGGTGTACGGCTAGAATAAAGGAGTCAAGAAACATAGGTTGGGAAATCTCTTGGAAAACGTCCGCCTGGAAGATCGGGTAGATGGGCTGTGCATGTTATTGCCTCAGGATCGCGCCCTACGGCGAACTTTGATATTAGCAGAGTCTGCTACCAGAGTGCTGCCTTAGTGTCTAACATATCTAGCTCTTCCCTAGCTGTCAAGTGACGTGATGTTCATGATCGCCATTATGAATGGAAATACTGCCTTAATCCACACGAATAGACGCTATGACGTCCCTCACTCAAATTTTTACCCTGTCCCCATTATGCAGAGGCAGATTCGGGGTCAGACTTACTTTACGACTGACGGTTTACCGCCAATCAGTTCATCTTGATGTCAAGTTCCTCTTGACGCACGACCATATATTTTATTTTTCAACTGAACCCTTGCGGTAATAGTCCTTATGTAACATCCTCTCTGACGAGAAGGTGGGTTTGTCTCTTATAAACATGCTTGGCCTTTCGTCAAGCGTACGTATCACACATATAGCGTGTTATTGAAAATTCCTCCTTTTGCACTCATTAGGTTTCAGATGAGTCTCTGAAAGCAGAGTCACATCTATATGTAAGTCCCTAACAAACAAACACCGTGGCCTGTAGTCCGCAAGCGAACTATACCGACCGAGCGACCGCCGCTTGTCGGCGAAGTTAGTGCCAAATTTAGTGGATAGAGAGTGTCGCGTGGTCAGCGCAACGGATCCCCACGGCCGTTAATCTCGGCTTTCTAGACCGGAGCCGCTATTCCTTTCAAGGGAGTTATGCAAAAATCATTTCTGTTAGGCGGCAGGCTGCAGTGGTAGAGGTATTTTATACTTCAATCGGCATTTAAGTCTCAAGCCTTCTGCCGAAAACAAATCTAGTGCAGTAACAGCGTGTATATTCAATGATGTCGTGTCATAATGTATATTAGAATGGAGCAATGGAGGGGTTGTCAGTGGAAACAGCAGCAAGAGATGGGAATCTTTATATCGAGGGTTCCTTTCATTTGCTGTATTTGAGCCCATTCACAACAACATGCGCCTGCGTACTGATACAAAACTCATGCGGAAAGAGTAACAGCTATTTGTGAAATCTGGAAAGTACTGTGTACATTCTGTAACTGAGGGCCAGGTTACTCAACTACAGGCTGTTTGTTACACCTGGCCAAGTTATGGTTGAAATGAATGCTCCTCTGTTGCATGGAGATGACTACCACCGCGATCCTCTCTTGCTAGTTGAAGGAGAGAGGGCATTACTGGCATTTGTTTTTGCAGGCCATCTGCCGAAACATTTTCTCTAATACCGACACCGCTTAGAGCATACCGTATTTATTATTCGATCGAGTTTACAGAGTCTGTCCATTACAGTTTAAGCATTTTATTAAGTTTCTTCTCAATTTCCAGTTGACATTTCAAGGCTTTCTATGCTACTTACAATTTAAGCAGGGAAATGTTTTTCGGTTTGAAATTACGTCGTTTCCACGAAAACCAAATGCAAAATTAACCTGTTAAATACAACTGGACCGAGCAGGGATAGCTCAGTCGGTATAGCGACAGGATACGGGCTGGACCCCCGGCGTTCGATTCCCGGTAAGGGCAGGAGATTTTTCTCTACTCCACAGCGTCCAGGCCGGCTCTGGGGACCACCCAGTCTATCTACTGTGTGCAGCGAGCTGTTTCCCCGGAGGTAAAGCGTACAGGACAGAAGCCGACCACTCACCTATATCCAGTGACGAGGTTAAGAATGGTGGAGCTATACTTCCACTTCCCTCACTTGTCTGCATGGCATGGTACTTAATTAAGCACAGGAACAACGTTACTTTTTACTTCTTTAACTTTATTACAATTTGACCAGAAATAAGCAGCAACATTTCAGTCTGTCGTAAAAGTAGTTCCCTGCCCAAAAAAAGTTACCTCAGACCTGTTATTATTAATATCACATTTATTCCCTAAAGATGACTTTCCAGAACGTTTCACGCCTACAGCGTGCATATTCAGTGAGATCCTGACTTACAAGATGTCCCCTCAGTGGCTATAACGTAAACGTTGCTAGAGGCGAGAAATGGAACTTCCCTACCGACTTCTCAAAAGGCATTCTATTGGTACTTGTAATTAAACTGAAATTATCTTAGTAAAAACTCTGAACAAATGTGTAGTGCTGGCAATTTCGTATTTACGTACCTCGGTCATAATTCGTAAAATCTAAGATTCGATATTATGATGACCAGTTACCCTGAGATTGCGTCGTTAACAAACCAGTAACATTTGGGGTTGAGCGGGGGTGGGGGTTTACAACACTGACATCAAGATTCTATAACGTCGAATGGTAGGGTAACTGATGGGTGAGGTACTGGAACGGCCTTGAAGGAAAATTGCCAGCGCCTCATCGAGGCACTATTCCAGCATTTTCCTTCAGGAAATGAGGGAAACTATGAATATCGGAATAGCCGGTGTCCCGGTCGAGATTCGAAGAAAGAACTTCCCGAGTATGAATCTAAACTGTTACCGCTATACCAACTCGTTTAGTACAACCCAACAAACAATTCGGATACTATGCATAAGCACCTCTGCTCTGGCGAGCAATAAACGTGCCCCAGTTTTTAACAAAACCTGCATCTGTTCTTTCGAACAAATTAGGGCTACTTCCGAGCAGGTTACATAATGTGGAAGCGTCCAAGGACTTACCCGTCTCGAACCTCCTAAGGATTTCCATGACTTTTCTCCACCGTTCTGCAGAATATCTAAATAAGTTATATACAAATAGGCCCTGACCGCTGTCACTAGCCATGCAAATCTATGCAATAAAAGCAAATTTTTAAAACCCCCTGAGATAAATTAAATTATATATATGTGTGTGTGTGTGTGTGCGTGTGTTGATAAATATTATACAGTGCGGTCGTATGTTACGCAAATTTGAAATTGTGCTATATAAAAAAAAAATAATCAAGTCTCACTTTATGAGCAAAGTTTTAAATAATGCGAATCCCCCCCCTCAAAAAAATCGGCAAGAATCACGTACTTCAAAATTTGTCTTCAATTATGCGAGGTGGTCAAGAACGCATCCTCGCATAAAATGCGACCGCACTGTATTTTAAACTGCCTCGCGGCAGAACAAGTGAAACACATAATCATTCTTGTTTTGACAGTGTCTGAGTAAAATCATGGAGAGTCTCAAACGTGATACCTCACATCCCGGCCAAAGATTGGAACTGTGTATCTGCTGCCTAACATGCTGATCATTAAAGTACCATGACATTCGGACATGAAAGAAGATCAACATTTACAAACGACGTAATTGGCCATAAATTCCACACAGCTTACAAACATCACATTGTGCAAATGTTGCAGATAAGACTGTGTAGTGTTCATTTTCTTACCGAAGAAGTCTTCCCAGCTGAGAGATCCATCGGAATCCCATTCGTCTGCGGCAGCCATCGTTTTGGCGGCCACATGCACCGAGGTCATGTTTTGAATACAGTCATACGTCGCTGGTCACCATCTCGCATAAAACGCACTCCACATTATCATACATGAACCACATTGACAGTTCATCATGAAAACGTCAAGATTTTGACAGATGTCAACACATGTTCACACAGCTTCCAAACCAGCACCTCTCCACATCGTACAACATGCTCAAACAATAACATCCATCAGCCACCGCGCGCACAACTATCCTGCACACACATTCATCCACCTACCACAACCATCCTCTTCTCTAGCCATCATCTACTTTACTGCGGCACCTCGTAGCGACTGTAGAGACACCGGGCGGCAAGTCTGTCAAAACACTCCAGGATGTCCAACGATTGCAACAGAAATGCCGCTAGACGAATCAACATTACATCTCGCGAGTAACGGCAACTCTTCAATTGCTTTAACCACACAGACTGACTATCATAGTAATTGCACTCAACAGAATGATCAATATTCAGCCTCTGGAATATTTAACATACAACTTACCAAGTAACATGAATAAGCCTTCAAATTGGTCAGCAGATCTGTTCAAACCTACAGTGGTTACGTATTTCACTTTTGTTAAGGTGTTAACTCAGTTTTCTGTAGAGATATAGACAATGCATTCTTTAACCACAGATCAAAACGGAATACAAACATTACTGTCGTCAAAGATGTCCACCCTTTTTTGTGTGCGGGCAACTTGGTCTGTATGCGGACATCGTGAAGCTCAATAAATTAAATGTGGAATGCTTAAGTACAGGCACAAGGGCCGCGCCATAGCTAAGCGGTTAGTCGCTGGCTTCCCACCGCGGCCGTCCGGTTCGATCCCGGGTCTGGTCAAGTGGGATTTGTGGTGGACAAAGTGGCGCTGGGGCGGGTTTTCTTCGAGTACTTCGGTTTCCCCTGCCAATCGTCATTCCACCAAATTCTCCATCATCATAATCACCCGGGGTAGGCTACAATAGGTCAATCAGTGGCCGCCGTGCCGAGTGGACTCCACCCACCACTAAGCGAATTAAAAAAAAAAATACAGGCACAATTATATACAGTACATCCTCGTTATAACGGGCTTGCATACAACGGGCAAAATCTGGCTGTGTATAATTCTGAATTTTTACAGATGTTGAGGCACTAAGAAAGTTTCGCAGTTAAAAAATTATTTAAAATAATAAAAGAACCCTTTTTATTGCTAGTGGGGTGGGACTAAGTCGAACCCGGGCAGCCGCGGTGGGAAGCCAGCGACTAACCGCTTGAGCTATGGCGCCGCCTCTATAAAAGAACCTTAATATAAATTCCTTTATGTAATCATATTGTGCATTTTTTGGCTATGTATCCTATGGAGTATACCTCTTTGCTCGTTTACAGCTGACATCGACAATAACAGACATTCTGCACACACACCCCCCCCCCCCATTAGTCCGTTATAACGAGGGTTTCAGCCGACCGCACCACTGAATACCGCGGGGGCGAGAAGTCTCTGCATGCTAGCATGCAACACAATATAGCTATGTATCGCTAAAAACGAATAGGAAAACGTGTTTACCTGTAAAATAGCAATATTTCTAGCCAAATGAATTGGTTATAATACAACGCTAACTAGTTCATTCGGACCGTTATAAATTAAGTTGCGAACTGAAAGAATCTGGTTTACATCATAGTCACATAAAAAAAAAAGATGACGTAAAACTTGTTTTAGAGTAAATTAAGTAAGTAAAGGTATCCCTGTAACAGGCCGTGGAGGCCCATAGGGTTGTGAGATCTTGAGGTTCCCACATTTTCTAGACCAGTGTTCCGCAACCTTTTTCTACTCGCGGCACACCATGAAGTATCCATGACTCAACATGGCACACCAAAATGTCATTCCCCTCAAAAACGCATGATATCAGACAATTAATATAAATACGTAACGTGATCAACTTATTATTATATTGTTATTTTATTATCATTAAACAGAAATCGACTCGTGCGTTTATTAACAACTAATGAACTTTAATTCACTGTAGAGTGTAGAAAATACACTTCTATTACTATTAAAGTAAATACAGTAATTCTACTCATATCTTCAATGTGATACTTGCGCCTGCGTAGCTGCACACAGGCGACTGATCCATGGGGATTTATCCATCTTGAAAAAGTAAAGTAGTCTAATAGTAATAGAAAATAACAAGAGTAATTAGCAACCACAATTTTCGAAGTACTTCAGAGCACAGCTGCGATAGAACTGAAACAATTATAAGACGCGGGACCTCTATTCTTCAAACGGAAGAAGTGACACATATATGTACTTATTTTTGAAATATTTATAATTTTAAAATGAAGTCCAACAATCGGTGGGTGCGTCGTTAGAGGCAGAAAGTCATAAAGTTGAAGAAGTTCTAACTTCTAACAAACAGGGGCAAACACCAAAACAGCGTTATAAAAGACAGGGCAACCCTTGCTAATCCCTGCAGTTTTAGGGAAAAGCACGTACGCAGAACATGCGGCAAGTATATCAAAGAAGCCACGTAAATGCGAGAAAAATAAAAAATCAATAATAAAAACTATGATATAACAACAACTGTGAGTAAAAATTTACGTTTAATTTCTTAGAATACAACATTAATGTACATAAAATATCACGACATGTAATAAAGAATAAACAAGCATAGTGCAGTGTCTGAGAATAAAATACAAGCATATGAAACACGGTAACTGGGATAAAATAAAACGAATAAAATTCGACAATTAATTTCTTACAGCAAGTAAAAGTTCGCGTCACACCTTTCACCTTGTGACGGCGGCACACCGGTTGCGGAACACTGTTCTAGACAATCGGCTCATAGATGGCGGTAAGTTTGTCAGCCCTTCGCCCCGGTCACCCTTTAACCGCAAAATATTCCAAGAATATTCCTGGTACTCATTTCTGTTAGAGGCTGAGTCGACCCCAGAGCCATAGTGCGGCTGGAAGGATTAGGTCAATTAAAAAAAATTCAATGACCTCATCGGGACTTGAACCCGCGACCTTCAGGCTTGTAGCATAGTGCCTCAGCCAACCAAGCTATCGCGTGCCCCACTTGTTTTAGAGTTCACTTTAAAATTATTATTTTGCACCGGATTTGATATTACGATTTTAGTAAACTAAATATATATATAAATCCCAAATATTTCCTTGGCCCCTAAGGAAATGGTCCCATAGCCCTTACATGCATGGAACCCCGTAATAGTCACCCACTTAGCAGATAACTTATGACAGTAGCTCTTATCGCGATAAATGTGTCATCAAGGTTAATGAAATGCCTTGCTAAATTTTACTTTTTGATGAGTCAGATGCGTTTGAGAAGCTTCTGAAGATAATGTGGTAAATGGTCTGTAATGCATCAGCAAACACAGTATAGTAGATCAATCAGCTTAAGTAAGGTCACAACATGTTTGAATGTAGGCCAAACAAAATAAAATGTGACAATATGGTTAATAATCAAATTACGTTTTCTGCTTTTCAGAGATACTGGAATAATGCTTTGGACTATTTCGAGCTGATATAAGGACTTTATTAATGACATCTATTAAGGCTGCTTAAGTAACCTAGAGGAGTGGTACAAGAATAGCTCTAGGTTAGTGATTCTTAACTCCATCCATAAATGCGACCGCAGCAATTAGACCTTACATACACATTGACTGTGCAGATGCCTGTGCTCCCGCCTTCAGCCCATTCACGGCCACTATACCCATTATCAATGGATAGATTTGTAACAGATACATAAATATATGTATATAGAGTGGGGCTAGTCGCGGTAGCCGAGCGGTCAAGTGCGGTAAGGCATGTACTGTCTTCGTTCGCTCGGAAGCCGGGATCGTGGGTTCGAATCCCACACAAGGCATGGATGTTTGGTATGTGCATGTGTTTTCCTGTGTTTAGGTAGAGGCCTTGCGACTAGCTAATCACTCGTCCAAGGAGTCCTACCGTCTGTAAAATGATAAAAAAAAAAGACTCGGCGCCATAAGCTATAGGAGGAGCGGACTAAGTAAGTGAGTAGGCCCTTGTTGTGCCGCGCCTAATTATGCAATGGATCAGGATATACCACGCTGCTTTGATCACGACCCCAATAAGATTGCTTGTTTTACGTTGTACTCATTTCTATGAAACGCTTTATTTACATAATACTCAACTATGCCATAAATTTAATGTACGAATTTAGTCACTACGTAAATATTGTACAGGCTTACGTAATAACGGGGATTCCAAAAATTGATAAATATCAATTTGACTTAGAGAGCGGGTACTGAATGTGTCCCCCAACACCCTCTTTGTATCGAGAGTCTGTTTTACGTATGGAACTCTGTCTCTCACTCGCGGATGAAGAGTGTTTGAGGAAAATGTGTTTAGGGAAATGTTGACAGATAAGAATAAGAATAATAGAAAGAGAGAGAGAATTGGATAATGAGGAATACATAATCTGCATTCTTCATCTAATGGCTATTATCGGGGTGATCATATCAAGGCGGATGCGATAACGGGACATGTAGCATGCATGCAGAAAATGGCAAAGTTACATATGAATTGTGGTGGAGAAGTTTCAAGGAAATATCCACGTTGGAAAAATGGGCGTATGTAGGAGTATCATATAAAAACGTATCTTCGTAAAAGACGTTTAAAGGTGAAGACTGGATTAATTTATCTCGTCATAGGACATCTTAAGAATGCAAGAATTTTCCTACGCGTTTCATAAAGGATGGGAAATTTCTTGACCAGTTGATCGACTATCAGCTACTCAAAGAGACTCCTTTCCTCGTGGTTGAGGACAGGGACAAATTACTTTTGGGGCGGTGACGTTGGTGCTCCCTGTCGGTACTCTATAAAATATCTTGATTAGAGAAACAGAAACCATATGCCGAATTTGTACCATTCAGTTGAATTAAATCTGAGAATAATCCAAGAAATAAAACGAGTTACTCCACAGAGCGTTCTTTTAGTATTTACAGGTATGACAAGTTACTGAACGAAATTACCTCAACACTAAGTAATTCTATCTATCTATCTATCTATCTATCTATCTATCTATCTATCTATCTATCTATCTATCTATCTATCTATCTATCTATCTATAGTCCTTTTGTTGGACCTTGGCCGCTTTCTCCGTTTCTTAATCAAATACACAGTCGCAAGGATTCTTTGGATAGCGATCCATGCACCATGTGGGATTCGAACCCACGATCCCAGCGTTCGAGGAAGCGAAGACAGTTCATGCCTCAGAGAGCGCGGCCAGTGTGGTCGGCTAAAAGGTAAGCTACCTCTGTAATA